ACCTAGAAACCCAGGACTGCTGCCTATCGAAAGAAAAATCGGTGGTTTCTCCTCCGGTGAAAAATCGAGTCTTCCGCCTCGGTCTCGATGAGACCGTTCCAGTTTCCCATGCGTGACCCACTGTGGGATCGCGCCGGGACCAGTTCCCGACCCGCCCGCGTGTCTCCTCCACGACTCTCATGCGTTCTTGCCACCGGGCGTGGTGAACGGACGAGGTGTGTTTCGAGAAGAAGGAAAACCTGGCCAGCTGGACACGCTTCTTCGTACTTTTCCCACAGTTTCTTTGGTCGTCAGGTTGAAGAACGCGGTGAACGGATTGACGGAAAGATCGGAATAAATAGAGCGAAGATGAGTCTCCATGCAAATTGCGGTTTCTAGGATCTAATTCAGTGGGAAGTAGGTGGCAACTTGTTGCTTGGTTCTTTGGGTGAGAAAATATTCATTCTTTTTGTTTCAATTAGATTCATCTGGTATATATCATTTATTAGTCTAATATTGTAATGTTTAACACTAGGTTCACACGTCGATACGATCCATATTAAATTTCACAATTTCATTATTTGTTGATAGTGTATATTTTAGTAAATGTTTAAATCTCCAATTTCCAAGATCTATATGTCCGAACATCAATACTTCTATCCACAAACTCAACACCAACGATCTATTCCCAACGCGTTTTACACCTACCGCTACTTCATCACAATTCAAACCATTTGCACCACGAAAACATCCGACGCGTGTCGAAATGAAGGAGTAAACCGAAGACCAATCTTCGCTGTTGTTAATTGCCGAAGAGATTCCACCGCACACAACCGATACATTACCGATTTAATTCTGTTCTATCTGTTATTTACGTACCGAAACTGGCGTGCAATAAAGTTCGCGATTATTATTCGTTTTATTACACCGCGAACAACGAGGGAAGGAGAAGAAAGAGAAAAAGAAAAAATGAACGAAGGAAGGAGAGAAAAGAACGCGACGGGGGAAGAGGCCAATCGCGCGGAGGCTTCTTCAATGAAAAATAATAATAAAGCAGTCGGTGTCGGGGCGGGTTTGAATATTGATTGGCTGGTGGCGGTGTGGGCTTGATAATGCACGGCCAGATAAAGGGGAAAGTTATCAGGCGGTGGAGTTTATGGGGAAACAAAAGCGGCCGTGATTTACGGACTCCTTCCTCGAAAAATCTCGAAACGGCCGCGACGCGAGAGCACTGGCAACGATAACGTCGCGCTTTCTTTCTTCTGTTTACAGTTCGCGAGGAGACAGCCCATTATCGGGCATTGATAAAGAATCGGCTGCTAATCACGCGTGCACTCCCGGCCGCGGAGAACGTCGCCTCAAATTTTTCGTGGACCGTGGCAACTGTAACTGTACATCGAACTTAATCGGATCGAATTCGATTGAGTTTAATCTAATTTCATTGAATTCAAGCTAATTTAATTCATTCGTACAGGCAGACAATAAGCCTTCCAGCATGCAAAAGAGAAAACGTTGAACCAAACGCAGGGCAATCATTATTTTATACGGTCCGAGGATCGAACGTCCCCGTGGATCGAAACGTTCAATTAATTCGAGGATCGGCGAAACTATCCGATAACTCGACTACTGTTAAATCGGATCACCGCGGGTTTCCCGGGGGAAACGAAAAGATATCGGTTCGCGGAAATGATAAATCGCGTTTCGATGAGAGCGCATTCCGTGTCGCGCGTAGCCCCCTGCCCGTGGATCTTCGTTTCGAAAGCGTTTCCCGGTATCGATTACCGTACCTCCAGGTTTCGAAACCCGGTTTCTTCGATAGAACCTTACGGTACCAAATTGAGAGTGGCTGGAGTCGGAGAAATACACGGTGTCACTGATAGTTTCGGTTCCTTTAATAAATACAGTACACTTGAATTCTAATTTGAATTATCACATGAAACGACGAGATTTGATTTAATACTGGAAGTAGCAGATAGATCAAAATGATTCGTTTCTAAATTTCCCCTTTCGCAATTATTGAAAAACAACAAAGGTGTTTACAAGTTTACTATACAAGTTGATTTAACAAACAAAAATATAAGTCGGTCTCCATAAATACACTCTTATAGTTTTGAGAATTCAAAAATATTGCTTAGACTGGTCGGTAGTAGTGTTGATAACAGACTCGATGATTAGAATTGGACTCAAAGACGTTAAGCGAGTCTAGAAAAACTCTGGGCACGTAATCGAAAAAATTAACTGCGAAAATGAGATTTGCGTCATGAGAAAAAAATGGAAAAAAGAATGGTCCGCAAGGTCGTATATTTTTCAAGAACCGCGATCCTCGTGGCGGGGGCTTAATAAATACGCTCGTCATTGTTTGGCCGTCGATCGGTAGACAGAACAAAGAATACGGGGAATGTTCAAACAGCGGATCTCGCGCGCAAACAGCTAGGAGAGTGCAACGCGCGTCGACGTTCGTTAAATCTCGCCCACGGGATAAACAACCGTATAAATAAATTTGTCGAACAGGAACGTACGATAAAGCGGCGACACGGAGCAACGGCCAACCAACGCCGATAATTTCAACGCTCAAGGCGGACGACAATTAACGATGAGCTTCTATGCTACCATTTTCAAAATTTTCGAGCGACTAGTTTCAAATTTTTCTGTAGGAATATAAAAAGACAGTAAAGAACTGTTTACGAAACTTCGTTTTCTAACTAGTTGCGTTGGGTGCCTATTATTTGAAGATTTAAAAATTATCAAAAAAAATTTCTGGCGAACGTTGAAATGATGCGAAGCGATTGCGTCGTGAAATTCATCGAGAAATAAATGTACAATTTGCTTTCCTCGCTCTCTAATCAGTTATTTTGATTATTCATTGTTTGGAACCCCAAAAATTTGCAAAGAAAATTTCTAATGATCGTCGAAATGATGCGAAGCAATTATATTACAAGATACGTTGGGAAATAAATGAAAAATTTACGTTCTGCTTTCTTTAATTAGCTCTCTTGATTATTTACTCCTTGGAGCTTCACAAATTTTCAACGAAGACTTCCGTCGATCGTGGTAACGACGCAAAGCGATCGCGTTACGAAATCCGTCGCGGAATAAATGAAAAAACGCTCCGAGTTGCTCGGTGTCTTTTTACGTCGACGTTCTTCCGACGCCGCGCGCCAATGATATATTTTTTTACGACTGTGACGATAAGGGAACCAAGTAAGCGTCGCCTCGGGGTTCTTTCGAAAGAGATCATCGACTATCAGTCGCGATAAGGGATTTAACAGTCACGCGCAGGAATGGCCTCGCTAATTACGCTAGCTGCCTCTGCCTTCTCCTAGTCGATGATCACAGAATAAACGAAACAACGGATGAAAATAGTTCTCAAAACACCCGATCTATCCGATTCGCAGCTTCGAACTGTTGCGAAGTATCCGGAGAATTCGCCGAGAAAACCGGAAACGCGTTTCGTGATGTTTCGGCTCGAGAATTCGCGACGGAAGGAAAACTTCAGTTTCAACTCGAACGTTTAATTTTAGAATTCCGCGAATAAAATAATGAGTTTCCTGGCTCCGGTGCGAGAGGTAGAGCTTATTTTGCATTCTTAACTCGGGAGATTGGTCGAGACGCGATTTCGAGCGACGGATTGTAAAAACGAACCAGGTTTCGAGTACGCTGGCTTCGTTTACTACGCGTTTGGCGATCTTCGATAAGCCTGGCGAGGGAAATTTCAGAGATACTTGAAGAACGAACATCGTTTTCTAAAAAAAATGAATTACTGTGCACACGACTAATGATCTTTTTGATTTCTTTAACATCTCTTGCGTGCCGATACAAGGTAACATCAATTATTTCCAAGCAGCGTACAGTGGAACGATTCAAGCTGGCAATATTTATGTCTGGTAAACTCGTTCCACTTTTATAATGATCAATGACTAATTCCCGCATTTCGATTCGTGCTTCGTTGCCCGTTTTACACGAGAACCGACGAAACCTGCGCAGACCCATTGACGTGCTTCTCGTTGAAAACAAAATGTCTCGACACTTTCGGAAGAGCCGATGAAAATTAATGGAGAATCAATGAAAGAACACGACTAATCTTATTGCGAGTTATCGTTGACGATTTCTAGCGATAAATGCATCGCAGGTGACGAGGATATCGATTTCGCGTTTCATTTTAACCTGACAAGTATTTTTGGAATCGGGAGAACTCGTAAATTTCGGCAAATTTGCATTTTCACGCGTGAAATATGGATGTCGCCGGACGCTTATTTTCTCCATCAAACATAAACCGCGGACTTTATGAATTTCTGGACAATGGTGGCCGATTTTTCCTCTCCCGTTTGCATTGTTGCTCGAAACCGAAGGAACGCGTCGCTCCGCGGATAAAAGTAGAACACGCGGCCGTAAGTTGCTTCGAAGAGAAAAAAAAGGGAAAAGAATCACGGTAATAGAAATGCGGAGTAAAGTCTAATGAAATACCGAGTATAATTATAGCGCCGACTTGAATAATCGATACCGCAGATACACAATGAATATCGACGCCGCGATGAGATTCGAACCGTGAAGAAAGGTTTTTGACGTCTCGTCGAACGCAAAACCAGTCAAAGTGTAAGGGCAATGTACAAATCGCAGTATTGTTATCGAATAAACGCGATGCCACGCTTTTCCTTCTCGTCAATTCTATCGCGACAAAAAGTGAATTACACCGTTCATCGTCAATATAAAATTCTCCTTGGATCTTCATCCGAGAGAACAGCATGGAGCACAATTAAAATCAACGAATTCCTTGAAATTCTCGAATACAGTTTCTGTATCGCCGGGGCGATCGTAAAGTCCGCGATAAAAGGAATAAATTCCTGTTCGAGCCCGGTTCTTGCGAGACAATTCATAAAAATTTGTATTCGCTTAAAGGCCCGCCAATCCGCGTATAACTTGTCAGGAGAAACGTCCGCGCGGTTCATCGTTCGAAAGAAGAAAAAGTCGGAGGCCCAGGGATACACCGTGGAACACAGAAAGACCGGGCGAAAGGGACTTACCTGGGAGCATTGATGATTGGTCGGCCCATTGCCCGTGGCTGGCGCTTCTCGTTACTGGGAAGGCGCAGGTAATCTTGGTCGCCAAAGAGGAACAGATCCTTTGAAATAATCATGTCCACCGTGTGGTTGCCGGTTATAGCTGCCCGCCTCTCCCGCTTATCTCTCGCTCACTGCCTTTACACCACTGGCTGAACAACGCACGACGGTGACGAGAGCAGGAAGGGAAACGCGGACTGAATATTCACACTGTCCCGCCGCCTAAATACGTCCAAGCCGATCCCGACCGAGCAATACGATGCAACGCGACGCAAAATCTGCTGCCGTCGTTGTCGTTGTCGTCGTCGTCGCCTCTCGTCAGCAACGGTACATTTTCGCCGATCGACTTTGTTACTACTGCTGCTGCTGTCGGTGCTCCTGCTGCTGCACGCAAGTAATTCAAACCAATCGCACCTGGTCGCGAGCATTAAGTCCGAAATACGCGAGGATCCAACTGTGCTAGCTATCTTGACGGTTCCGTTCTCTCGCCTCGTCTCTTTGGTACAGATGATTTATCGCGCGGAATCAAGTTCGACACTGTGATTGGTGGATCGGGTTGGATCAGGGGCGACGATAAAGACGTCGTCGTCCGGTGTCTGGAAAAGAAGAGCGAGAAAAAGGATTTTAGTCGTTTGAGCTAACCTGTTATACTCCAGTCAATGAGAATACAGAACGGTATAACGGATCTTCAGTCTTATAAGTGCTTGGTGATAACGTGGATACAGTGTCATCGGTGCACGAAGGGTGAATGCATCGAGGCATTACCAAGGATCGGAATCCTGGCGACGAAGGAAAGAACGCGTCTCGAGGCGCAATGTCAAGTGTGTGGCTCTATTTTCAAACGGTCGGTCGGTGCCTAGTGCACGATAGAGTAAACGCGCGGCACGTTTCACCGGCGCGACGCGACGAAACGATTTTAATGCCGGCGTACGGTGTTATAAGTTTAGAATTACGAGCGGTTCGTTCCCACCGCTGCCGCCGCCGCTGCTGCCGTTCGCATCTGATATTCGCGTAGAATGCAAGCCCGCAACGAATGCCGCGGACACGCGGCTGCGGCCGCAGCGGCATTGCCGTTCATTCATGATCGTCTATTGCTACCGGCGAAGGTAATCGTGTCTGGTAGGGTAATCCGTTACCGTTGACGAGGCCAGCAAAAACAGAACGAAACTTTTCCCCTCCGTGGCGGGTTGTCCACGCGCGACAACGGCGCACGCTCGTCGAACACCGTGTTATTTTTAACGTAGTACGCGCATTCTTCCTTTTCCGTACCCTTTAAACTGCAAATCAACGACACAGGTTAGCCGTAATTCGTTACAACGACGGAACCAGTTCCATAGTAAATAGTCATTGAAGTATAGATACCGTGAAGATCGCGTGTACCAGGGTCTCTCAATCTGTGGATCGCTAACCGATACCATTCGTTGTTCAACTGTATTCAAAATCCGTTCGAACCCGCGATGAAAAGGTTGAGAAACGCTATAGAGTACTCCGTATGCATTGCGAAACAGAAATTTTCTCGAGCCAGAGTCCCTTTGCTACCATCATGGCCAGTCCACCGCGTGTTTTCAAACGTCGCCGCCACGACCCTTCCAAAGCTGCAGGTTTTGTTCATGGGCCTAAAACCCCCATCGGTTCCATAGAACGAATACACATAAAGCGATTCAATAAACAAAGTCAAATACTGACGACAACTGTCGTTAGGATTTTCACCGTGCCTCCCGCTTTGCGTCATTCTGAAAAGAAGGGACGCCTGTTATCGTGCCGATAGAAAACGCGATTCGCTGCAAGCCGAGGCATGTTCGGAACATCCTATTGTACCCGACACGATATCCCAAACAAATGTTCCCGCGAGGAAAATAAAAAGCGTCGGGAACGGTTCGAAGTAACTGTTCCGTTTCCAACGACAACGAACGGGGGAGCGGAAGGGGGAAAAAAAGAAGCGAAAGATCCGGTTCGATTTCGCGAAACAAAAATACGTATATATATAGGTCACCTATTTTCGTCCGACAACCTTCCGCGCAGGCTGCACGCCTGCCACCCACCGGTCGCGAAGCGGCTTCCGAATTCTTCACATAACTAGAATCACCGGCTCCTATCAGCCGTTAGAAACGGCCGTTATTTATCGGCGAGATTTGTTAGCCGTTTAACCGTGGTTCGCGCGCATCGGGAACGAAGACAAACATGGCGACCAGGGAGGAGGTGGAGGAGGAGGAAGAACGAGGAGGAGGTGTCAGCGGGTGAAGGGGAGAGCCGAGTGCAATGGTCGTGCACGTTGCGTTTGAAGCTGACGAAGTAAATCGAGCGGATATACGCCGCACTCATGAGAACTCGTCCCATATTTACATCGCGCCAATTTTCACCCGCCAACTGTTAAGCATTAGTCACGGATGAGTGGCATGTATACGACACCGGTCATCACCGCGCAGGATTTCGAACGGCGCGCCCCTAATTAGCTGATTTTCGTATTAGATCTGGGCGCGAGATTCGAATTTCACGGTCGCGGGAAAATAACGTCGATGTTTACGGTGAACTAGATACGTCGCAAGGCGTGGATACGCCAGCAGGAAACTCGCGACGATCCTTTTGCGATAGCGACTGTAACGGCGCGTGTAAACGCGTGCAAGATTGCTGGCGACAGGTTCGGTTCAGTTGTGACAGTAATAAAATAAAATGGAAGTACGAGCACTTCTGCGAGTCGTTATCGGGAAAAGTTACTTGCCGATGCATCTTCGCGTGAAGACAGTTATGAACGCTGAGATCGATTTTTGTTTCGAATGGGAGCGTTGACCCAACCAAAACGTCGTCAACGTTAGGAGAAATTTGAAAGACTTAACCGTTTGCACTCGAAAGTTTTTCACTTGAAATATTCAATACCTTGCAATTAGATGTAGACAAGATTCTTTAAAATTAATTTATCAAGAAATCACACATAAATTAGGGAACAAAGCTATTTTCTTTCAATATTTCACGTATTGATGCAGTATACAAAGCTAAATGGTAAATACAAATGTTTATAATTTTACTGTATCAAATCATCTGGCGCCTGGGAGTCGCTTCTGGAATGCAAAGGGTTAAGCTAGTGAATTTTAATGTCTAATGATTGTGAAGATAGCGCCTAACTAGAGTCGATTAGAATTTCATGAGATTTTGAGGAGAATATTTGCGAAGGAATTAAAGTTACTTGTAGCGTTTCGGACCACCGTGGAGTTGCCTCCTTCCATTTCCGCTCGGCGACGATTTCGCCAAACGTGTCAACCTTCGAACGTGAAATTAGTACCAATGGACGCTGGTGCTCGTTCGTATCGGCTCTCGTCGTAGCGCTGTGATCGAAATCGAGAACATTGGGGAAGGTAATGGTACACAGTTGTGAAAATAGTACCGTTAATTCCGCTCGTCTCGCCGGCCGAAGACGTAATCACGAAAAACGGCCGAACGAACCGAGACGCCTGTCTCGAACTTCACGGATTCTTGTTTTGCCACCACATACAGCTCAAGGTTTGTTTACATCGAAGCCGACCGATTTGAAAAATGAGTTGACGACAAGTTCTACTTTAGGTATCTATCTACTTTGAAAACATTTATCTAAATGCTTTTGAATTAATTAGCAAAAGAATATCTTATAAATCCGGTTCCTCTAACGGTTATCCCGTGAGAGCTACGCATGCGTAACAATTTGAAATTGCTGTTTCTAAGGCGCGGAAATTGCTATACGTAGTCGAAAAAGAATTCGTATTTGCAATAATACTAAAAATATCTTCGGCAACGTATATTTTATCAATGACAATATACGATAATTAAGAGCAATTATCTCATCGAGTGTAGTAGCGTCTCGTATCGCGGGAGCAACGATCTCGTCCATTAAACCGTCAGATCAATGAACACTCGATAACCACAAACGAGATTACGAGTTCGAATTTCGATGGATCGTCCACTCGACGATTACCCGACACTTGCATCTGGTATTTATAAATACGCTTCGACGAATCTCTCGACACCTCGGCCGAACGAGTATCCCAAACAAAACATACCTACACGTTCCTAATAACACTTTTAGATTTCTAAACCGCCCAAGGGTCGCTGTCAACAGGTGTCGTCATCATTATTTACATTGACCGGAAAGACCGAACGATATAAACGCCCTAATCGAATATCGAGCGGTGTATCGAATATCGCATACATCGATCGCCATATCGAATTATTTTTCCAACGGAAAATTTCAAATACTTTTCCCCATAAAAAGACGGGACCTTCAAAAAATGAGAACCATAAGAACGAAAAAAAAAGTCTCTAGGACATTTCGTAAGAAACCCCGTCGACGGAAATGTCAAGGACATTTCAAGGTCACACTTTTCACTCGTACATAATATTTTAAGTGGAATAACAATTATTTGTTTACTTCTAACTTCGGTTGATTAAAACGACGAGATTTGTTTTCGCTCGAATGAAATGATTCTCGTTCGTTCTCTTGAATAAACTAATTGTCATGCAATTGAACGCGCGAGGAAAGAGAAGGAAAGAGAGGGAGATAGCGAGCGAATGACAATGCACAGGGGGAAACTAATTTGGCACGGACAAAGGAAACGTTACATAAACAATGCAAACGACCGTTTGACAGTGTGGCTGCACAGCGGCTGTGTGACTTAATTTTTTTTTTCCTACTTCCTCGCCGACTAATTACCTTGCGATCGGCTGCGCGAGCGTAGCAAAAACACGTACTTATCCTGATTTACTTGATTAGAATATACAAGTCAGCCGGTTGGATTTGTTCCAAAGCGAGGTTGTTCCATTCAACGCTACACCATCGTACGTCGTAATCGGTGTTTTCAAGCGTCAGAAATCAAATATACACCTAATTGAAATAACCTGCCGCCCAATAGACGCGCCGCGCAATTACGTCAATCGCTGTGCACGCACGATTAACGATCACCGGGTGTATTTAACGTCGCGCGAGCTACGTCTATTTTTTTTCCAACGATGTTAATGCATTAATTTTTTAGCTTCCGGTAAACTCACCTGTCTCCCTTTTCTTGCTGATTTGAATGGCAACCCTTTTTTCCTCGGCGGACTCTAAGTCCACTTCTGCCAACGTTAAGACGAAAAAAGAAAAGAAAAAAAAGGATGATTAGAAGTAGAACGGTCGTCTCTGACGCCATGTTTACACAATTCTTATCCGAATTTCCTCGTATCAGTCCGTTTCTCTTTTTTACTCGGTTTGTCCAAATTTCGAGAAACGTGGCATAGAAATAGAGAAAGACCACGACGATAAACCGTCGTCGACTCGTAGCAAAGTCTGACGTTCCTTGATTAGATATGGAATTAGAAACTTCACGAACAAAGTACCAAAGTGGATCTATTTTTCGAGTGGTAATGCCAACAATCTGTGTCACCCAGTGCTACCAATATGGCGATTACGTCTCTGAGGAACATCTTCCTTGAACTAATATATATTCGGCACTTTCATTTTATAATTACCAGGACTTCGAAGAATTCCAAACAAAAAGATCACGCGATTTTCGAAAATAAAACTTGATCGTGCCGAGACGACCACGCAATTAAATATGATTACGAAAGAACGCGGTTCATTATATCTACGGTAGGTAAGGTCAGCGTATCGATGATAAGGTCATTACAAGAACGGCGTACCTGTCCTTCGGTTACTTGTCCTCGACCGTAAAGGAATAAATTTTTAATGGTCGAATATCTGGCTCCGATAAGATCGTCGAAAACATCGCACGCGTGCGCGTAAAATCTTTCCAACGAGTTCACGATTTTCGGTGAGCAATATAACCGGAGGAGTACATTGCGCCGCGGAGAGTAGCGTGAATGCCAACAAGAAGAACACGTCCAAGCGGACTTACGTCTTTAACAACGCCGATACTCCTCGAATCACAATCAAGATATTTTCTTAGAATAAGACAGTGATGTACGGACAACCTTCGAACGAGAAAACACCGGTCGCAGTGAACGACCCTACGCCCTTGATACCCTCCAAACCACACTCCTTCGATTTGAAACTTAAATCGCGAACGCGCGGTTCACGGCAAGCGGCACGGTTCGTTAAACGCCGTGGAAATGAAAAATTAGGTCGGCCCGATGCTACGGCCATAACGTGTCGCGGCGATCTTCGCCGGAACGCTTAAAGAGACACGTATATATACATATATACGCGCCGCGATAATCATCAACGCATCCCCGGGACTTTCGATTTTCTCGTGTCTCGAAAATATCTTTGAGATCTCGAGCCGATCTCTCCCGTATCGCATCGGGATCGAGACGTCATCGAGAAATCGTCTTGAACGGATCGGACCCAAAAGGAAGAGGTTAACAACGAAAAAAATGTATCACGGTTCTTAAAGGTACGTACGCAATGCTCTCGCTTACCTAAGAAGGGAAAAAAGTCGACCAAACGATCCCAGCGTTCCTTATCGCGGTGTTCGATCGAGGCGCGTCCTCAATCGCGGCCGGGAACCCAAAGAAAATTTCAGTGGGTCTCGGGTTCGATGTTAGCCGGTATCTTCGGCCTCGCCGTTCTCCTCCTCGTAGCTCCTGTCACACATGCACTGTGCACCGGCCACGAACATGCGGCCATTGCGCGGCGCGCAGTCAATGAACCCGCAT